TATATATAAACTCCGTATTGAAACTATTTTACCACCCTGGTAGGAAGCTGCTGTTAACCCAGTGCTGCAGCCCGAGCCATCTGCAGGACAGGGCATTTTTGGTCTCCCCATCCCTTCGGATCAGATGGGTGAGTGGCCGTCCCCATGTCCCCCCTCAGCTGTGCACGCAGCCGGCACGGCGGCAGGGTTAACACAGATGTGCTGAAACCAGCAGACCCCTTGGAGAACATGAGTAATTCCTATTTTTTCATTTAAAACAATCTAATGTGCAGCGAGAGCATTTGATGTTCGGGTCTCTTCTTGCTACGCCTGCGAAAGCAATTGCTTTTATGCATGCTTATTTTTAAAGGCCCTCGGCGCGTGCTAAATTCCACCTGGAGTTATTCCTTGGGATCCATTTCTGCTGCGGGAACAGTAATTTCCCTTTCACCTGAATGCAGCTTTTATGCTGGGTAAGGTAAATACAGCTGAAGAAAAAGCAATAAAAGGAAGAAAAAGGATTATTCAAGCAACACGCAAGCTCACAGCTCCAGGGAAGGGGAAAACAAACCCTTGCAACTGCCTTGTTGCTGTCACCTCTCCTGGTTGCTGGATCTCTTGGTGTCAGGTCCATGCCCGTCCTTGCACCTGTGGATGCACTTGTCAGCGCTTGCTGCTCTTCCCCATCAGCTGCCATCTGCTAATTATTAACCAAACCCCCTCCCAGACCCCAGGGGTGAGAGGATGCACCCGAATTGAGGAGAGGGCATTGTCCCCACCCATCCCTCCACACCTTTGACATCGCAGAGGCTGGTCTCGGCGAAGCCCTCGCCGAGGTCGATGAGCGTCCCCTCCGACTTGCACCGTGGCAGGCCGCCTGAGTTGGCCGCCCGGATCCTCTGTGCCGCCATCTCCGGCCCGCCGACCCCACCGGTCCCAGGGCGGCACTAGGAGGCCATGACCTCTCCACGAGCAAAGCTGGCTATGGGGACCCTCGTGTCACCTTGGGGAACCAGCCTGGGGAAGAGAAACGAACCCCAGCACGTTAGCAAAGGCTCCAGGTCCCACCATGCCACCCACGCGCCGACGATGCTCACTCCAGGCACACGCCAACCCTGCGGTGCCGATACAAGAGAACATCCTCATGTTCTCCGTAAAGCATTATGAAAGACAACCTAGGTGCTCCTAATAAGCACAGCACTGCCTACAAATCACCAAGGGCTTTGGGTAGCGAGGACAGCCTGGTCTTGCATGATGCTACTGCTGGCCACAACCCCGTATGAAGCAGCCCTCTTGCCTTTAAGATATATTTGGGGATACATTGCTCCCAGGCTCGTAAATTGGCCGTTCTCCCCATTTCTTAAGGGCTTTCAGGGCATTTGCACGTTGCTGTAATACATATTTATAAAACCATCAAGCACTCAGTGCTGTAGGAGCCCAAGGCAGTGGTTAGTGAGCGTGGAGGGCCCATGGGACCAGGTTTTTGCATGTTCAACCAGATCATTGCTGCCTCCTGCCACAGCACCAGGATGTCCTGGGATGGGGACTGGCTCCTCCCACTTGGTCCCTGCATCCCTCCCCTCGTCTGGCCAACTGGGCAGGGATCGGGCAGAGAAACATCCCTTCTTGCACTGACTGCCCAGCTTCACTCAAGCTGCTGCATGGAGCCAGTACAGGGATGACAACGGGGGGGGAGACAAGTTTCCAAAAGGTAAAAGAAAAATAAAGGGGTTTTTCCTCCTCTTTTTTCCCAGAAACACTTGCAAAAGCACTTCCAGAAACCCTGTGGAAGAGCAGCTGCATCAGCAAGCCAGAGCCAAGAGGAAAATTAACCCACCTCCTGCTGCCTGCAGAACATGCTGGCACTTCAACCACCAGCATAGTGCCTGATGCAAGCACTGGTTAAGACCTCCTCTGGTGTCACCTGTGTCCTCTGGACCTCGGAGAGTGGCCAGAAAGGCCTGGTGCCTCTCTGCTAGCTGAAGCAGCAGAGCCTGAGCCATGCTTCGCCCCTTCAGGTTTGCACCACAGAGTAGGTAGGCGGTCCTACCTACATAGGTGACATACCTGGCACCATCCCAGTAAATCCTGCTATCCAGCATCCCTACATCCTGCTCCCTACACACCTGCCACAAAACTCCAGCCAGGCTACAAAGTGCCAACAGCTCTTAAAAATAAAGCCCTGTGGAATTAAAAGTTATATCCAAATCCCCTGCTTGAGTTCCGCAACCCAAAGGGCTTTTCATCCACTCCTAGTACTGTTTTTCCCTTCTCCCCCTCCCATGCAATTTTTTTTCCCTTCCTCTGCTTGAAAATCAGATCAAGCAGAAAATAACCCCCAAACCCAAATTCCTTAGGTGGGAATACAGAGCTGATGGAAACGTGAAGACAAGTGCCGATTGCTTTGGCTGCAGCTGGCTGTTATTAAATCAGTGTGTCTCTCTCCATTGGCATGGCGAGGAAGACCAGCAAGCCCTGAAGGATTCGGTGCCCTTTTCTGGAATGCAATAAGAGGAAATTTGCAGGGGAGAGCCTGAGCAGGAGATACTCCAGCCTGCTTGAAATGCTTCCCAAGCCATCCCCCAGGCCGGTATGCCGGGAATGTAGTTAGCTGGAAGGGATGCACCAGGCTCCAGCCAGAAAAGGGAAGGGAGAACTTGTGTGCAAACACTTTTCCCTTTGAGAAGAGCATTGTTTTGAGCCCTGCTGGGAGCACTCCAAGGGGAGAGGGCTTGGCAGGCATTAAATACAGAGAAACCAGGCTTTGAATCAAGACTGCGCTTATCAGAGCCTGGCCAGGTAAGACAGGGGACTTGGAGCTGCCATCAGCAGCAAGAAAAAGCAATAAGCTGTCAGTGGGAAGCCGGGGAACGGAGGAAAGATGCTCTTGTTAGCTAGCACTGTCCACCATCTATCCAGCTCACCCCTTTGCAAAGCAACACCGTGGCGGGCAGGATGTTGTTTCTCATTAATACAAGGCACTGTTTGGATTGCACATTTCCAGCTGGCATGCAAGACCCTAAACACTTACTGCTTCCCCCTAAAGCGACCCTGCAGACACTAGTTAGGCTGTTGTAGGGTTTTTTTTTTTCTCCCTAGCTGGAGGGTTCAAGCCCTCCACAGCTACAGAGGCACAAAATCCATCACGAGGTACGCAGCGTCATCGCAGAAATAGCTCAAGTGGCAAAGTTTTCACCAATTTTAGCGATGCTTGCACACAATCCTGTTAAAAAACAAAAAACACTTTGACAGCCCAAAGGTCACCTCTGCTTGGTGAGCAATGCACGAAGCAAGAAAGAAACCAGCAACAGGTAGGTCATTTTACTGTGAATCAAAGTGCAAATCATGAATATATTTTTAAACACCTGCCTGGTAGTCCAGTGCCAAATAATTTTTTATATCAATCATTACAGCTGTGCACTGACAACTCTCACCGATGTATCCACGCGCCTCAGTGCCTGGCATTTGCAGGGATGCTCTCCCTTCCTGTATTTATGTAACTATATAGGAACATTTATGCTAAAGGTCTGGACAGATGTGGTTGTGTGGAGAAACAGCTGGAAAAATCCCCCCTACATGCACCCTGCGGTCTCAAAAGGCAGCAAGAACGTACATCAAAATGAGTAATTATGAAGAGGTATTTCCTCTCCCGAAAGCAGCATCTTGGCTGCACCTCAGTCCACTCTGGATGTGGCAACACTCTCACATGAAAGGATGGGGGTGCATGCCCCCCACGGCTGGACTTAGGGAGGGAGCTGTGTTTTGGAGCTTACTGTCCCAGGGGACGGACCCAAGATGTTTCTGAATGCAGAGGCAGGACAGATAACCAGCAAGCCTTCAAACTCGGGCTACGTGAGAATAAAAGGGGACAGTCGGGAACAGGGTGGGGGGAAAACAAGGGTGGACGGGGCAAGATTTGTTTAGAAATCACTTCTGTAGCCATGGCTGAGACAATGGTCTGCTAACTCCTCTGAAAGCACTTTAAATATAGACTAGGATTAAATATAGACTAGGAAAAACCCAGCCCCATCTGTTTACCCAAAGCCATAAACAGCATCCGAAATGAATGGGGGTGGGGGGAAGGAAACTGGTGAACAACCAGAGCTTGCCCCACACAAGCAAGGAAGGCAACAGCATCTCGTTGTGCAACCAGCTCAAAGGCACCCGCACCTGCTTTTCACACCATATTTTTCCTCCCAAGACAGAAAGGCAATGCTGCAGGGTAAAATTCAACCATGCAAGCCAGGAGGACCTGCTGCGTGCTTCCCCCACCCCAAGTAATCCAACAGGCAGCTTTGCAGGCAGCATGCAGGCAGCAGCTGCCAGGGTTGGGGCTCCACAGTGGTTACACCCCACGGTACCAGCTGTGCCACTATTCTTTCCAAAATCCTAAATGGGCTTTACTGAGGGTTGGGCAAAGCTTTAGGGAAGCCCCGACGAGCACGTTCCCACAGCTGCTGGCTGGCATCCCGCAAATCCTCACCAGCTTTCTGGGGCATGGAAGCGCCAGGGATGGTGCCGGCCTCGGACCAGCATGGTGGGGGGCTGCAGGGTTTATCTCCGGATACCCCTTGCTTCTACCCTGGCATCATGTGGGGATGACACAGCAGCTCTATCACCTCCCCGCCCCATCTGCTGGGCTTCTGCTCCCTGGGGGACATCACGGGACGCCCATCCTGTGAGTCACCCATCAGGGGAACAGCAGAACTGCCTTCAACAGGGACTTGCAGAGCATGGATTTAACTTTGCATTAGCTGGGGCTATCAATAAGGTTTTTGGGGAGGGACAGATGGGACACGCAGACAGACCTAGCCATGCTCCTCTCTGCAGAGAGGCTGGCTACTTCTCAAGGCATGGAAGTGTTGTTGTGAGCACTCTGGGGAGCAGCGAGCAGGATCTCCAGGGTCTTGAATAAGTGCCCTACCTACTCCTGGATCTCCTCTCCACCAGGCACGGAGCAGCAGCAGGTTTGGGGAGGGTCTAGGGCTGATGACAGTGTAGCACCTATTAAAAAAACCTATTGAAACCTATTAAAAAAACCCCAAAGGTCTTTTTCCTGCAGTGTTTGAATGCATGGCGTTCAGCTTAGTTCTAACAGCAGCAGTTCCCAGCATGCAGTGGCACATAAAAGGTTAAAAATAACTTCTGCAAACTCTCTGGGATGGCTTAGCCCGGAAATCCAACCGCAGGCTTTCCCAGCCCGGCCCCACAGACCCAGGGGAGCCCCCCAACACCCCCCAGCACAGGCTCCACGGTGGTACAGCGGGGCCGGCAGCAGAACCCTGTCTTCCCCAATGCTCCCAGCTCCATCTATCATGCCAAGCTGGTCCTGATGGGATTACAGTACAGACCCACCTCTGCCTGGACATTGAGCTATAAATCAAAGATGTAGCACAGGCATCCAGCCATGCTGAACAGGGTTAGCGGAAAAAAGCAATCCCATGAAAAATACTCACTGGCAGCGTAAGCCCCGCATCTGTGAGCAAAGAAATGCAATAAGAATGTGGGAGTACCTAAAAGTGCAAACCCCAAGGACAGGAAACAGGATCTGCTGCTGGCCAAGGGGAGGTCTTCTCCAACAAGCACTGACTGCAGCCCACGTAGGTGGGAGAGGACCCCTCCAAAAGCTTCAGTGATGGAAAACCCCTGACTGCCAAGAATTTGGGCTGATAAGACCCGGGAGGACTGGCAGGGCCGGGCGGTACCAAGCACCATCGGGGCTGGAGATGGAGCCAGATCCTTCCATGTGCAGCCAAAGGAAGGGCAGTACACAGTACCTGCCACCAGCAAAGGGAGGTGGGGAGGACCGATGCACATGCCTGCCCACCCTAGGAGCTCAGCCAAGCCAGGGAGCTACAGGGTCCATCCCACCACAGCCCACACATGTGCATGGGAAGCATCAGAAACAGGAGCCACCATGACA